ATCTAAAGTACTTAATACATATTTCAAAATTACTTCATGTCGGAAATACTGTTAAAGTGTAATAACTATAATTATGAAAGATTTACATCACCACAAGCATCTGGAGATGCACACAGGTGTTATTAATCTACTAGTTGGAAGACTAAGTAGCTGGCATTATGATAGTACTCTGTGTACAGGACTGTTTTCTAAACCCACCATTTGCAATTGATTACATGGACCATCTGTAACTGTGAATCATGTTAGGAGTTACCCCACTGACATTTATCGAACATTTGTCATGTAGCAAAATGTTTCGTATAGAAAGTTGACACATAATGGTTTTCAGGTTTCACTAAATCAACTTTATAGATGCCAGTCTATAAGTACAACCCATTGATATGTAGTCTCCAGAAAAATACGGTTTATGATTTGATTCAAGAATACGGCCTCACCCCAAGCTCTCCGTGCGTAGACCAAAAGGTCTTTTGTGACCAGCGAGGTGACTTTGCTCCACCGTTTGTTCCCGTGGAACTATCTCTCGGGTGGCTTACAAAAGTGGTGAGGAAAGAAAATTTGGGAGATACAGCTAAAGATGACGTGGGAACAGCGGGTCGCGATCAGTCGAAGGCTGGGGATTTGCCTATGGGGAAGACACACGAAATCTCCGTTAAGCCTGTGTGTGGTTCACGGAGGAGTGGGGGCTAGTCTCAATCGACGCGTACGCGCCACCTGTCAGACCAGAAGAGACGCTGGGGATGGAGGGGGGCGGGGAAGAGGGTGTCCCGAGTCCCGGAAAAAAGGCTGTGGGCCAGCGGGTCTCGGCTTTCGAAGCGCTCTGGTCGGGGTGCTAGCGCGGTGGGGTCGGGGAGAAGGGGGGCGAGTTGGATCCGGAGGCCACAACACGAAGCCTCCGGGATCAGGCTGGGAGACCGGGGGCGCCACCGCGTGCCCCTCCCCTGAGCCAGACTCTCAGCTCCTCCTCCCAAACACGTGACCATAGCCGGCGGGTCTCCTCGCTCCGGCAGCGTAACTCGCTCTATTTCTTCCCTCCCGCCGCCGTGCCCTTCTTCTCCTCAGTTCCCATCCCTCGGCCCTCCCCCCACCTCCTTCCCCACTCCCCAATAGCGGCTCGAGCTGAGGAGTGCCCGCCCCTCCACCCTATTCTTCGCTTGTTCATTGGCCGAGGCCTCAAGGACGCATCCCGAGGGCGGGTGGCAGCCATTGGTGGGATGAGCAATCCGAGTTCCCGGATGAGGGAACATTCAGCAGTATAAAGGGAGCGGGGAAGGCGGGAGACAGCGCAGTTTGAATCGCGGTGCGACGAAGGAGTAGGCGGTGGGATCTCGCTGGCTGTCTGACTAGTCCTTTCTCTGCCTTGCTTGTTTGAGCTTCAGCAGAATTCGAAATGGTAAACTTCGCGGAGGCGCTCGAAGACTTCGCGGGTTTTTGCCGATGGGAGAAAAACCCGTTACACACGGGAGATGGGGGTGAAGTGGCGACGGTTGGGAACGCGCGGAGACAGGATTTGGAAGCGCGGGGGGAGGTGTTTTGTCGGCGGCGAGCGGAGCAGCCTCCGATCTCGCGGCGGGCGGCGACGGTTGGGTGGCGCGCGCAGCGCCGCTGGGGGCCGGCGGGCGGACGGAGGCGCGCGGCCGCGGCGGGCGCGCACCGGGGGGCCGGCGGGCGGGGTCGCCCTTGCGGCGCGCGGCTGGCCAGAGACCCCGGCTGGGCACGGGGCCGCGCTCGCGCCTGGGCCGCGCCGCGGTGGGGGAGGGGCACACCGCCCTGGTAATCCTATATTCCCCGTTCCTCCTTCGCTCGCGGGCGTGTGCGCGCCGCAGGCTGGCGGTAAGGCTGGGAAGGACTCCGGAAAGGCCAAGACAAAGGCGGTTTCCCGCTCACAGAGAGCCGGCTTGCAGGTCAGTGGTGGTTCGTGCAGTCTGGGAATTGTGGCGTTTTTCTTTCCACCTTTTTTCTTGTTTATCATCGCTCTGGATGGGCGTTTCGTCTTTGCGTGGGTGATGCGGTGTCGCGACTTGGTTTGCCGATACGATAAATATCGAAGGGGGGGTGATCACGTGTGTCGATGCTGGGGCGCGTTGCTGCACCAGCGTCCATGCCCCCTTGGTTTGGCGCGCGTGTAATATTACCGTCTTTGACTCTAACATCTTTGTGCATTTATGTTTGTGTGCTTAAAATTAAGTTCCCGGTGGGCCGTATTCATCGACACCTGAAATCTAGGACGACCAGTCATGGACGTGTGGGCGCGACTGCCGCTGTGTACAGCGCAGCCATCCTGGAGTACCTCACCGCAGAGGTAAATGGGTGTACGCCTATAATATGGAAAAGGTTTGGGGGGGTTGGCGGGGGGAGGCAGCGAGAGGGAAGGAGGAAAGTGATGCAAGAAAAACTCCCAGGCCCTAAACGCGGCTAGAAGCTTCTGAGAACGCTAGAGGGGGCTGGTGTTCATTAAGGAATCTTTCTGAGCTTGGTTGAGTTTGCTGCTCTTGGAAATAAAATTGCGTGCCCCCTTTTGCATGTGTTGCCGTTCAGGTAGTAGGGGAAGACGTCATTTGGTAGATTTACCTGCATGAAGATTTGATTCTACTCTCTGGGCTTTGGCTTTAAGGAAAATTGGAAGGAGATTGATTAGAATCTGCCTTGTAGGTACTTGAATTGGCAGGAAATGCATCAAAAGACTTGAAGGTAAAGCGTATTACCCCTCGTCACTTGCAACTTGCTATTCGTGGAGATGAAGAATTGGACTCTCTCATCAAGGCTACAATTGCTGGTGGTGGTATGTAAATACTAAAATTTTATTCCTTTGTAGAAAAAATTGTGTAGTTCTCGTTATTAATTTTTAGTGCAGAAGACCTGTTTTCACTGATCTTCACTGTGGTTGCATTATGAAATTTGGTTTATGTATATAATTTAATGAATTTTTACATACTTTGCATTTAAAGACATTTTCCAAGTTGAACATTAAACTGTCTTGGTTTTAAGTGTTGTGTGATATCTAAAATATGTATATTGAAAAGTAGAATTAATCCCTCTTCCTCTCCTAGGTGTCATTCCACACATCCACAAATCTCTGATTGGGAAGAAAGGACAACAGAAGACTGTTTAAAGGATGCCTGGATTCCTTATTATCTCAGGACTCTAAATACTCTTAACAGCTGTCCAGTGTTGGTGATTCCAGTGGACTGTATCTCTGTGAAAAACACAATTTTGCCTTTTTGTAATTCTATTTGAGCAAGTTGGAAGTTTAATTAGCTTTCCAACCAACCAAATTTCTGCATTCGAGTCTTAACCATATTTAAGTGTTACTGTGGCTTCAAAGAAGCTATTGATTCTGAAGTAGTGGGTTTTGATTGAGTTGACTGTTTTTAAAAAACTGTTTGGATTTTAATTGTGATGCAGAAGTTATAGTAACAAACATTTGGTTTTGTACAGACATTATTTCCACTCCAGTGGATAAGCTCAATAAAGGTCATATCCCAAACTTAGTTGTGTTTTAAATTTGCTTGATTGTAATGGGAATTCCTTTCTTTTGAGTAGGTATCTCATACACCAGTAACATAAGCATATTTCTCTTGAAATTGAACTTGGTCAATAAAGTCAGCTGACCCAAGTGTAATTTTTTTTTAATATTATGTAATGAGGTATTTAAAAAACGTTGGCAGGAGCGGCAATGGGGCAAGTTGCTGTTTCTTAGGCTAAGCTGACCCATCTCAATTTGTTGGCTGTGCCTGTTCTGTGTGATGGCATCACACTGGTGGGCTATTGCTGTGGTGGATTTGGGGAGGGAGAGGGCATTATAGCTACCTCCACAGAGGGAACTTTCAGTTTAGACTTTGGAGATCATGTTTTCTTCATGTGCTACAGTGTTTTGAAGTCTACTTGAATTAAATTTTTCAGTAGTTAACATTTGCGGGGGGGGGGGGGCAGCTGCATGCTATTCCTTTTTTCCAGAAGAGTATTTCTTAGCAAGTCCTGAGTTACATATTTGCATGCTAACAATAGCTTGCTTGAACCTTGTGAAAAAAACGAGTATTTTCTGGTTGGGTTGAGTGGACCATTTTGACACTTGCTTTGCGGGAAGTTCCTGTCCTAATTTTTTAAAATTTGGATGTCCTTAACCAAGCAGTAAGTGGCCCCTTCCCCCCATCAAGGAGACCCAACATGACATGGTTCAGCATTTCACGAGGAAGTGCCATGAAAATGGGAGAAGGGAGAAAATCCAACAAGTAGTCATTTCTGAAATGCTAATACATTAAGAAAAGGTGGCTCCTGCCTTGTTTTGGTCACAAAGGATTAGGACTAGGGCATTTCACCAGAATAATTTGCAAACTGCAAATAAAGTGTTCATACCTTCTGGATGTACCGAGAGACAATTTAATGGAATGTGGATTAGGAAAATGGTGTGTAGCTGAAATAAAACTACCGTGGGTAGGGTCAAACGACGGTCTAATGTGCTTCTGAACACCTGTGCCGGAAGCGCTTCATAGGGACTGACAGCGCGGTGCTCACCTGACCGAAATCTCCCAAGGCTGAGGGCCTAGGGGCGGGCCCTTCGATCCCTGGGATTTCTCCTGGAAACGAGCGTCCCCAGGCCCCATCTGTCGCCCCGGCCGCCCGGAGGGCGGGCTCCCGGCTGCGCTGGCTGCGCTGGCCGCGCTGGGAGGTCAGGGGGCACGGCGCTGCTAAGGCAGGAGGCGGGGTCCCTACCTCGACGGAATACCCCGGCGGGCAGCCGGGCTGGTATCGCCCGCCTACTCCCCCCCCCCCCCACGTTGGTCGGCTCCGAGCGTGTCGGCGCCGCGCACGGACAGCCGAGTCGGCCGCGACTCCCAGGCCCGAGAGCTCGGTCCTGGGGTCCGGAGGGATGCGGCTCGCGCCGTAGGGGCCCGCGGGGGGCGGGGAGGCCGCCGTGAGGAGGCGGAGCTGTGAGCCCGCCTGTCCGCCCGGGCCGCCGCCGCCGCCACGGTCCCCTGCTCTCCTCCCCGCTCGCCACCGCACGCCCCCACCCCGGGCCGGCTTGCCTCCGCCGCGGCCGCGGCGTCCGTCCCCCCGTAGCTGCGCTACCGGAGGAAACGGAAGAAAGCGCAAGCCATGGAGGGGAACCGGGATGAGGCGGAGAAATGTGTCGAGATCGCCCGGGAGGCCCTCAACGCCGGCAACCGTGAGAAGGCCCAGCGCTTCCTGCAGAAGGCGGAGAAGCTCTACCCGCTGCCCTCGGCCCGCGGTGAGGCCCTCACTGTCCCTTCCTTCCCTACCTGCCGGGTCCCCAGACCGCCGCGTCGCCCGCCCCTGCCCCCACCATCGCTCCTCCGGGAACCGGCGGGACCCCCGGCCTGCCAGATCCCGCCGCAGGGCTCCGGGAGGAGCATCCCGACACACCCCCGCCCCGGCCCCGACTGTCCCGGGCCGGGCCTGGGATGGGCTGCCCGAGATTCCCTCTGCACTGGCTTGCCTTCGAGATGCCGCCTCTCAGCTGACAGACGAGTGTTGCCGGTTCTCCGGTCCTTTCTGTAAAGGTTTAGCTGTCATTCTGCCAGGAGATTTCTCTGGCCCCGTCTTACCTGAGTGGAGCTTTATATATATGGGTGTTTGGTTGTGTGGCCCCCTCCCACCGCATCTTCACCCTCAAATAAGGCCTAGGCCCCTAATGAAGTGAGAGGAATAGGGAACTCAAGTGGCTCATGTACAGGTCTCCATTCCACCACCTTTGGGGTAGAACACTATTCCCAAAGCAAACATTTCAAATACCTGAGATGACATTGCTTTTCCCTGGTAGAGAGCTTTTTTTAGAAGAGAAGAGCACAAATTTGGCAAGAATGATAGAGTCAGCAATGATTTCCTAAATAGTATCTGATTTGATAACACCATAATTATCGATTAATTAGGCAAATCACTAAGGAATGGTGTACTAGACTGACAAGTTGAATTCACTCTGTTCAGGTCCTGCTCTGGAGGCTTTAAACTAATAATAATAGCCAACATTTACTGAACACTTAAAGTGCCAGGCCTTGTGCCTAGTGTTTTATATGAATTATTTCATTTACTCCTCAGAACAGTCCTATGTAGAGATGGAATTCGTTTAACCGGGTTTACCCATGTGTAAACATTTTTTGATGAATGAATGAATAAATGAATGAATGAATGAATGAATGAATGAATGAGTGAATGAATGAAAATATTTTACCGAAGGTCACAGAGTAATTAGTAGCAAAATCAGAATAGCACTTGAGCTTTTCAGCTCCAAAAAGCCTTCAACCACTATGCTCTATTGTCTTGCCAATTGAATACTGTTTCACTGGAGGTTCAAGGTGTTTCTAGGTTAGGAAAATTAATGATAAGTTAATAAGAACGTGAGGCTGTTTTATTTTATTTTCTCAATTTTTTTATATTGTTGTATTCTTTGCTTTATCTATCATTTTCATTACACTGCTGTTGAATACTTTACCAGAGAGGACAGGAAAAGGAAGTGAAAGAAAAGAAAGGAGTTAATATTTTTTAAAATGTGGCACAAATATGTGACAAAATTTACTTAATCATTTTTAAGCATATGGGTCAGTAGTATTAACCATTTTCATACTGTTGTGTAATAGATCTCTGGAATTTTTCATCTTATGGAACTGAAATTCTGTACCAACAAAACAACTACCCATTATCCCTGCCTGCCAGCCCTTGGCAACACCATTCTTTATTTTTCTAAAACTGTACTACTTTAGATACCTTATGTAAGTGAAATTATACAGTATTTGTCTTTTTGACTGGCTTATTTCACTTAGCATAATTCCTTTAAGTGCATGTTGTAGCATGTGATATGATTTTCTTTTTTAAGGCTATATAATATTTCATTTTACACCCTCCCCCCCACATTTTCATTATTCATTCGTCTGCCAGTAGACATTTAGGTTGTTTTTATATCTTGACTATTGTGAATAATGCTGCTATGAACGTGGGTGTACAAGTATAACATTGCAAGTTTCTCCTGCTTTCAGTTCTTTCAGATACATACCAAGAAATGGGATTGCTGGATCATATTGGCAGTTCTATTTTTAATTTTTTGAGGAACTACTATACTGTTTTCCAAAGCAGTTGTACCATTTTACATTCCCAACAGTGTGCAAGAGTTAACAGTTTTTCCACATCCTCACCAAAACTTGTTTGTTTTTGATAGTAGCCATTTTGAAAAGTATGAGGTGATATCCCATTGTGGTTTTGATTCGCAATTTCTTTAATGATAAGTGATGTTGAGCATATTTTTATATGCTTGTTGACTTATTTATATATCACCTTGGAGAAATGTCTATTCAAGTCCTTTGCCCATTTTTTAAAAATAACTTATTAAGGTGCTGAGTTGAGAGTAGAACTCAGGTGATTGACAGAAAGTAGTTTTTTTTTTTAAGATTTTATTTACTTATGGGGGGGCGTGTGCGTGCAAGTGGGGGGAAGGGCAGAGGGAGAGAGGGAGAGGTAGACACTCCAGCAGACTCCATGCTGAACACGGAGCCTGAGTGGGGCTCTATCCCATGACCCTTAGATCATGACCTGAGCTGAAATCAAGAGTTGGATGCTTAACGGACTGAGCCACCCAGGCACCCTTGCCCATTTTTTAATTGGATTATTTGTTTTGTGGTTGAGTTGTAGAAGTTCTTTATATATTTTAGATATAAACCCCTTATCATATGATTTACACATTTTTTCGCCTATTCTGTAAGGAGTCTTTCATTCTGCTGGTTGTGTCCTTTGATGTACAGAAGTTGTTAAGCTTCATGTAGTCTCATTTGTCTGTTTTTACTTTTAATAAAAGCCTGTGCTTTTGTTGTCATATTCAAGAAATCATTGCCCAGAGTTAAAATTTGCATACTGTATGAATACATGATTTCATTTTAACCATTATCTAGTACTAGAGGGACAGTTTTAATATTAAGCAAGTAACCACTCAAAACAGAATACCTTGGCTTTTGAAGCCTATCTTCTCCACCTACTGGCTGTAATCTTAATCTTGGGCAAGTAGCATAAACCTCTCTAGCCTTTGCTCTTTGATCTGCAAAATGGGACAGTAATGTGCTGATTTCATGGGGCTCTTGTGAGGATTAAAGGAATGAATACATGGAATGCATTTAACAGTAAGCACTTGGTTTTTTGGTATCACTTCTATTTAACAAGTGTGAAGCTCTGAGAAGCTTTAAACTTGTAGCTTGTCATTCTTATATAAACAATTTGTTGTTTTTGTTGTTTGTTTAATGCTTCATTGAGAAACTTTATATTCTTTCAGTGTTTGTTTTTTTCTTAACTAAGCTCTGTGCCCAACATAGCTTGAACTCACAGTCCTGAGATCAAGAGTCACGTGCTCTACGGACTGAACCAGCCAGGTACCCCTATCATATAAGCAATTTGAATCAGTCTGCTAAAGGATACTGTAAGATATAAAAGCACAACACAGTTGTTGCTCTTAAAGACATGAACCTAGAGAACATTAAGAAAAATAACAGTGAAAATTAATAGTACAATGTTTTGTAAAGGCAGTCTGTGATTACCAAGGAAAGTGATAGTTTACAGTTGTGGTGTGGTCAGAAAATCTTAGTTCAGATGCATACATACTTTGCCTTTGACAGTTTTGTAACCAGGGACAAGTTACTTAGCATCTCTAAGTGTTCTTTAGTTGTGAAATTAAGATTTCATCCCAGGATTGAGGTGAGCTTTGCTGAAATAAAGTTATGCTCAAATACTTGGCAGAGTGCGTTTTACATAGAATGTTCTCAGAAGGTGTTTATTTTTTTTAAAGATTTTATTTATTTGAGAGAGAGAGAGAGAGAGAGAGAGAGAGAGAGAGAGCACATGAGAGGGGGGAGGGTCAGAGGGAGAAGCAGACTCCCCGCCGAGCAGGGAGCCCAATGCGGGACTCGATCCCGGGACTCCGGGATCATGACCTGAGCCGGAGGCAGTCCCCCGACCAACTGAGCCACCCAGGCGCCCCTCTCAGAAGGTGTTTAATGGTAGGAGGGAGGAAGGAGAAGGTCTAGGACGTTTGTGTAAGTCCTGAGAAAATAATTAGTGTAGGAAGAAATCGAAGCTAGTGGTTAAAATGAAATTTTAAAATTGTATCCCTGAATTTCTCCTATTCTAGATTACTAATAAATTCCTACGCCTCGGGGTTTTGACTGAAGGTTCCTCTGGATGTGTTTTCATACTAACATAGGCAAAAGAAAACATTGCGTATTGACTTTCATTATTCTTAGACAGTGAATGGGAAAATGTGAGAGTAAATTCTAACTAAACTCCAGAATTTTTATCCTCTTCACATTTGATTTTTGCCAGGTGAGCAGTTTGATTGATAAAACACTTAAAAAAGTTGGCAAGAGTTTTCCTTGAGGAAAAGCTTGATCTTCAAATGGATCTAGGACATTGTTGCTTTCTGTGTTTTTAGTTGAGGATATTATTTTATGGATCATTTATTTCAGTGGACTTCTAAGTGAATTGAATTTTGCAAATATTCAAGTATTTTCATACTATGAGTTTGGTTTATGTTCAAAAGGATTGGTATGTGTGACTAGCTACTACATATTCTGGAAAAATAATGTCAGCAGGCAGAAAAGTAAATTACTTTTTAGTTTCTTAAACTGTATATTTATTGAATTATTGATATGTTTTGGACTTTAACAGAGGGATACAATCTCACTGTTTTAATGCTTTACATTGCTATTTACTTAGTATTAACTGTCAGTGATTCATACTGATTGGGGGGCGATTAGTATAGATTGTTTTTTTTCGAAGAAAAGCATTTTGATTGTTTTCAAGAATTTCTTAGTAACTTGAACTAAAGTGTGGCCTACAACTTCAAAAAAGGCCATCCTGTGTCTGCTTTAATGAATGGATAACTCATGTGTAATTTGCAGTATCTATCTGCACAATAACAATTAAAATAGTCCCCTATTTTTTCCCTCATGTGAAAGATATATGTATAGAATTTTCCTTTTTTTTACTACATTATTTAAAATTTAAATCTAATAAAAAATTCAAAGTTCTGTCCCTCTTTTGCCTCGCTTAAAATAGTAAAATAAAGCTTTTCAAACTGTCATTACACATGTGGAGTATTAGCCACACTGTTCCTTTTAAGGCAATTCCATTTTCTATTTCTGACTTAATTAAATTTTAGTGACAAGTACAAATTATACATTCAGAACAAATATTCCATAACATTGAATTAAGGGTTATAAAATGATCTCCAAGTTT